TGAACCTGCTCTACAGTTTGTTCCTTTTTGAGACATTTCTTCTCCGTCCCCTTCCGTTGCTAGCTAAGGACGTTGGGTAAGAAAATCAAAGTACAAAGGCCAAGACCTTTATTACGACATGTGAATAAAAATATATAGTTGCAATGTTACGTAATTTGAAAGTATTTTTTGAAACCTAACACTATTGAGCAACAGCAATAGCCAAAATTTATATTCAGAATACAGGTCATGTGCAGCTATATTTTCTCCTTTTATGGTATCGACCTTACTCTACGTAGGTACGTGGATAGCCTACAGACATGTTGCAAATGTCCAGACTTCCTTGATATTTACTAGCAATACTCTACTATGATTTAGTACTGATTAAACATAATGTAAGTTCTTAATTCCAGTGTCCATATTCTGTCCGACAAATGTTATTCATGTCTTGTTAAAATTGCAACAAAGTCCGAAGAACACATTTCAAGTGAAACTGAAAGTAGTCATTCAAACTGTGGTTGCATACAACTAAGGACATAATTTAGTGGATATTCTCTGCAATCTGTCTGCGGACGAACTAGAAAGGCAAATGCAAACACATACATACATTTGTACTCGTATTTTCATCTGAGTTTGATAACTTGAGTCACTTGAACAATAAATAAATAATTACAAAGATAAACAAAGACTCTAGTAAAGGCTTCAGGTAAATGAATCGCCTTTTTGTTTATAAATCTTAATCGTCTCTACATAGCCTTAACTTTTCTATCACTTATACTGCTCTAGTTTCGTGCCGGTCCACTGATTGGTCTTACTACTTATATCAAGAAAACCACGCCCTAGGACAATCTGACACAACTGTTCATTGCAACAGCTTTCACGGTATAAAATACCGTTCAACATTATTATGTGTCTGTAACACCAGTTCGGTGAACAAAATCACTGGTATTGTAAAACGTTTTTATTACAGCAATAACATCTAAATCCTGATAATATCATTGAATTTTCTTAGTCTTGGAACTCCGAGACCAATCATTATGTTATAAATAAGTATTTCTACTATATACTACGAGTACCTGCTTTATTCTGTAATTATGGTACACAACCAATCTAATGAGCGGTTACCATGACCTATAAACACTAATGATACAAAAGATGAGCTCGCTCTTTGAGAATTATATTTCGGTTCCTGTGTTATCCTGCTAATCTGTAAAACTATTATGCAACAAGCTTCAAGGTGATGTTACAAGCCCCAGTGCCTCTTATTTCATTGTAAGTGTACTAATGTTGTGAATGAACTTCATCTCTTGGTCTTTGGTGTATTAGATAAATACACATGAGCTATATTTTGATTTCAAAGCAGATATTTTGGCCATTACTAGATCTCTATTGCTTAGGACGCTCATAAGAAGAGACCTATTCATCTGTATAAATATAACTGTTAATTTTGTATGTTAGATCAGGCATGTTAAGACGTTCATGCTGTGTATGACATGATGAATGTCAAGGTCTAACTTTGTCACGATAATCGTCTGAGCTCTGAAATGTTAATAAATATAGTACAGTTTCAGCATGCACTTGAACGCATAACATAATAGCAACGAAGATGCTTCAAAAAAAATCAAATTTTACGGTCTAAAAAGTATGTGAATTTGAAGATAAAATTAGCATAAGCCAGTTCTTTAAAAGCCAGTGTGTGACAATAGAGAAAGTCACAATAAACTTAGATACTTTTGTAGAAGATGTTGTAACGGATACACAAAATTGCAGTGGCAAGAGATGCAGAAGAAAAGCTCGTAGTGTTATTATGCAAAACATTATCACACTAATGAAGAGGTGTTTTAAGAAGATGAATCTAAGTCTTAATTTTAAATATGTGGCGCTCGTTTAATGTGTTATTGTTTCGTAATCGATACTGATTTACGTAATCGATACTATAATCCACACTCCAAAAGAAGACCGGATTGGCCATACTTTGTTATAAATAGAGGTATCAGTTTGATACAATTTAATGTGTTACGTCACATTAATGGTCTTGATAACAGTAAAAAAAGTAGTATTGAGTTTTTATTGAGTTCTCAAACTGATCTTACGTAGAAGTATTATGGTACGGTTAACGTAAATTAGAAATTTGCTTGTGTAATATTAAGTGCATCAACTGTCAACATCTCACGTTCGAGTTAGAAGCTTACAACAAAGTTTCGTTTTCACTTACACGAAGTAACTTGCAGGAAAATGAAATGATTATTATTATTAATTATCGTTATTGAGAGTGTAAGCTATGTATGTAACAAAGGGGAATACCCACCGACCATAGACACTTCGGCCCTGGGTGCACACATATAAAAGCATCTGGAAATAATTATATACAATTTAAAGAATAAAATGTAAAGGAATTGATCAAAAAAAAATCCGGGTTATTAAGATATAAAATGGTTTAGAATATAGTTTTTTAGACAATTTCACACTACATTGTCACTCGAAACTTGTAACTATAGTCCATCTAAGAGGTACCGTTTCACAGTTCTGACGGATTGAAGAATATGGATAGGTCAACGAAAACGATTATTACAATATCCGATTCCTTCGAGGTATCGATATCATTTCTTTTTATTCACTAATGGATTGCAGTTTTACAGATTCATGTATGCTGCTATAATAGCCCGTGTGGTGGCAAATCATAGGTTTTACTAGTAAAACTTAGTATATACTAGACCTGGACACGAGGGCATTTGTCTACAAAGATTTATTTAAAATTACATCAACTTATATTTAATTTTAATTATGTGTTTTCGTTGACAGTTTGATGCCAGATGAATTTTAAGTATTATTAAACACTTAAAGACGCCTTGATTTAAAATATTCTCGTTATTAATAAATTCGATTTCATACAATTTAACGATAACGACTAGTGGATTTTAAGAGCCACAACACTATGGTAATGGACCTTACCACGAAGTCCGAATATAACATTTGCTGTGTATAAATTGGTTATATACTGCAAATGAATGGATAAATGAATACCGCAATTAATAAACATAAAACAACATGTTTTTTTAACAAAAGCAAAGTGTTGGCTGTTTAATGGCCAAAAATGGGCATGCCCCTTTATTTATTTTAAGTACCTTGGCATGTTGACAGTTCATAGTTGTCCTATTTCAATTAATGTATTTTTCAAGTTCTTACAACCTTGTCTACGTAAAAGACACGTTAAAGCTTTTTACAATAGCTTCTTTAAATCCTTTTAATAGCATCCTTGTCCCAATGTTTGGTTGGTTTAACCTGTCAACATTAAGGCTTGAAATCTGATATAGAAAAAGAGTTGACAAAAACATTAAAAATAGACCATCCTTCTACATATATTGACCTACGCATGTAATAACAATATTATATAATTTTAGATGCGGCATATCGGAACAATTCACTGTGGCAGGTTAATTGCGATTGTTGCAATACAATTGTTCCGAGAAGCGATGCGTGCGAACACATCAACCTAGCCATTCTTTCAGATTTATGTAGTATACACGGTCATTTCAAATTCTCAGTTACACTTCGTAAATTCATTAATTTTATTTTTGTCTATTAGTGATGATCGATATTATCTTAAAGAAAGTATTTATTTTAGAGGATGTATTTTGTATCAGAGCTCAAATCGGTGAGAAGGCTCGCAACTTCTTTCAAAATAATAATATAAATCCCCATCTCCCAAAAAATAATCAGACCTTGTACTATGGGTACTAGACAACTGATATACATACACATTTACTTTTTTTATTGTGTGTTTAACTTGAGTGGCATTCGAACCCGAGACCTTTGGCGTAGCCGTCCGTTAAATTAAGTTTTTGCAACGCACACAAACCAACTTAACATATTATATATTTAAAAAAAAAACTTTCTTTACCCACGACACAGGAAATCCTAGTGTGGGAGTGCCAGAGATATTTAGTTTTAATAGCAAAGTACTCATGAAATTTGTGTATTATAATATGTTTTGAACAATTTTTTGCAAAAACAAAGATTATTATTATTTTATTATTATTAAATATAATTTATCTACGTTAATAATTCTAAAACACTACTACATAATTTAGAGGTGTGATGAGGCACTTCAAAATTAAATAGTCTATAAAATGAGTACAAATTTGAATAAAAACAGTATAAATTACAATATTTAATTAAAACTTTTATTTGTCTTAATTAACACAATGAGAATAAGAATCAAATGTCAATTTGAGCATTTTTGGCATACTTTTACTTAGCATTTATTATGCACCTCGTCTTGCAATTCTGATCTCTGTTTCTTGGGATTGGATGGATTTAAATAAAGAAACTATGTGTCTGTAAGGCCCCTAGTAAATGAAAAATATTTCTCTATGAAAACTCTTGGAACAAAATAATAATAAATTTACAAGGCCACCACATCAACAGCCTTTAATCGTCCACTGCTGGACATAAGCCTCTCCTTAGAAATGAGGTTCTTCAAGGCCACCAGATACGTATTATTAGTTTAATTTTTAGGAATTTGTTGTATCGTGGATTTTTGTTGATTATTTTATAAGCTTAATGTAAAAAAGAACATCTCCACAAGTGATACTCGTACATTGAAAAGTATCATTTATAGGTTACCGTATTTACGTCGTAATCTTTTTATCATCATAGTAAAAACTAATGTCTCAATTAAAATTATACTTATTAATTTATTTTGGGTATAACAATTCGACACCAATCAAATTAATTATAAGTCCTTGTGCGTCCCGCAACTTTAAGACTTCAACGCTGAGGGAAATCTACTTTTGTAATTTATTTTATTTTATAATATTATAAAAATAATAGTAACTAAAAAGCTTTGATTTTCGAGAGTAAAAATAAATTCTGTTTAGATTTTTTTCTCAAAAAGTATGTCTCTTCCAAAAATTAAAAAAAAAAAACAAAAAGTTATTATCGTTAGGTGTACTTAATATTCTCGAAAACTGTAAATGTACTGGTGACTAACAATAATAATGCTTATGTTTTAATTGCAGATGCGACGGCAGGCTCGGATCTCAGCCGGCGGCGCGCTCGTCGTGCGCACCGCCTCTGCCTTACAAGGTTTCTATTTCTTTTTAAATCTAATTAACATTATAAACTAGAATGTTACTTTTTTTTAAATTCTATACCCTAGTGCTTAACACACTTAAAATTGTTCTTGTTGTTTTAAATTTTGTATACTCGTTACCAGGGTTTAATAATAATAATAATAATGTACTGGGTCTACCAATAGGGATGACCTGGTTTTGACAGCTCATAGCGCCCATGTTTGATGATGGATCTTTGAGGTCTCTTGACATTTGTGTTCAGTGAGGTTTGCCATTTTATCATGTCACGTTTCACTTTAAACCAACGCTTGGAAATTGTCCAAAATTATTACGCAAATTCGCGTTCTCCTACCGCTACAGTAAGAGCGCTTCGCGCAAAAAACGGTCGTCATAGTTATTTCTTTCCGGAATTTGATGATATTGATGCAGACGACCTTTATTTTCAACAAAACGGTGCACCACCTCACATTACTCGAGTGAACATGGAATTATTGCGTGTAAAGTTTGGTGAGTCGTTAATTTCGAGAAATTGACCGAACAGTTGGCCACCAAGATCGTGTGATTTATCACCTTTAGACTATTTTCTTTGGGGTTACGTTAAATCTTAAGTGTACAGCAATAATCCAGCTACAATACGTGACCTAAAAACCAACATTCGACGAGCCATCGCCGACATACCGGCCGAAATGGTGCACAGCGTTATCGAAAATTGGCGTGAGCGGGTGACCGTCTGCAAAAAGAGCTGCGTCGGTCATTTGACCGATATATTATTTAAAACATAAATTGCATAAAATTATCTATCAAATAAATCAATCGGATGCATTTTTCATAAAAATTGTGTGTTTTATTCAATTTTTAAACCAGGACGTTCTTATTGGTAGACCCCATAAATAAAATATTTAGATTTTTCTCACGAGATTGTCGATATGTGGAATGTGGATTCGGCGACCATTGTTCCGATAGTCATATCTGCTCACGTATTTGATAGCCAAGACTCACGACCAACACCTTAAGAAGTTCACGTTAGACGGCTGGATCAAGGGTCTGATGCAGAAGGCATTTCTCCTTGACAGGGTCCGTATAGGGACAGAAACCTCCTGTTTCTGTCTTTGGAGTCCTAACCAACGGTGTTTTGGTCACTGTACCCAATATCGGTGGTCTACCTTTTTATATATTTTAAATGTTTTTTTTTCTTTTGTAATATATTTAAAAATGTAATCAATATGTATTTTAAAATTTAATAAAGAGAAGAAAAATGTTATTAGCCCTAAGTACAGGGTTTTCCAACAAGAGGTGTTATTTTGAATCACCCGGTATTTCGGTAGCTGTCACTTTTGAAGCTTTTATTTTTTGACATTTGACAAGTAGAAACTACGCCATTACTACAACTAACTAACTACTACTAAAAATGGAACGATACACACTTCAACAACGCATTGAAATGATTAAAATTCACTACAAAAATGGTGAAAATCTTGCAGTCACAGTTCGCAAAACTAAAGCATTTTTTGGTCGTCGACCGCAATTGGTAGAAAAATTCGAGCTGTTGGGACAAGTTAGTGGTGTGAAGAATAAAACCCGTGCACGTCGCTCAAGAACAACTGAGAATATTGCTGCTGTAGCCCAAAGTGTTGAAGAAAACGCAGGATTGTCCATTCCTCGTCGTTCTTTGGAATTGGGCATTCCACAAACGTCATTACACCGTATTTTGCATAAAGACTTGGGTCTTAAGGCTTATAAAGTTCAGTTAACACAAGAACTCAAGCCGGCCGATCATCAACAACGTCGTGTCTTTGCTCATTGGGTACTTGAAATGTATGAAAATGATCCGGAATTCCATCGAAAAATCATCTTGACTGATGAGGCCCATTTCCACCTAGGAGGCTACGTCAACAAGCAAAATTGTCGCATCTGGGGCTCGGAAAACCCAAGAGTTATTGTTGAGAAGCCTCTCCATCCTCAACGTGTGACTGCTTGCTGCGGTTTATGGTCCGGCGGGGTCATTGGACCTTACTTTTTCGAAAATGAGGTTGGATCAACACTTACGGTGAATGGATTGCGCTATCGAGATATGATTAATGATTTTTTATGGCCGGAGTTGGATGGTATTGATCTGGACAACGTTTACTTTCAACAAGACGGTGCTCCGTGCCACACAAGCAACAAAACCATTGCTCTTTTACGGGAAAAGTTTCCTGACCGTGTTATCTCTCGAAGAGGTGATCCGAGATCTTGTGATTTAACACCTTGCGACTTCTTCCTTTGTGGCCACGTGAAAGATAAGGTCTACGCCAACAGCCCAGCGTCGATTCAAGACCTCAAAGATGGAATTCGTGAGGCTATCGAGGACATTTTGCGGGCAGCCAATTTGCGATTTGGTTATGCAAAATTTCATTAAAAGGATATGGTCCTGTAAGCGTGGTCGTGGTAGCCATTTGGCTGATGTTATCTTCCGTTATTAACGGCATACCTTCCTCTTTATTATAAAAAAAACAGCCGATTATTTATCTTAAAAAAATGCATTTTTCTTTGAATACTAAAATAACACCTCTTATTGGAAAACCCTTTATGTGCATACACAGAAATTAAACACAACTTGTAGAATGGAGTTGCACATGAATAGGCAAATATTTATATGCATAAATATGTAGTTTTATTACAAAAGGTCTGATTATTTCTAGATATATATTTACTTTTAGATGTACAGATATTTAAATAATTTTATACGTGTTGTATAACCCACAGTACTAGCTCTGCTTAGTTCAGATCTATACAGCGACGTCTAATATGTCCTATAATATAATTACTAAACATTTGTCATTATTTTTATTGGATTTAAGGTTTAAATATTATATTTTATAAGTTTGATTGTAGAAGAAACTTTCGAGTCAAATCAAATCAAATCTTTCATCGAATTTTTATATTGTTGTACCCCCTGTTTCTTAATTGGGGATTGTTTATTTTCTTGATGCTCAGTATTTAACTATCACTATAAAATTATAGAATAGTATAGTTACATTACCAAACGATAAACCATCGAAATTTGCTTCTTATTTCAGTTTGGCTGTGGTTGCTGATATTCATATTCCAGAACGAGTTCCGAATATCTAGATCTATTCAACCGGGTGTAAGTATGTTTTCTTTTCTCTAAAACTGCTTATACTCCTTAAATATATAGCCAGTATTAGGTATGAGGTTTTTATGATTAGTTCAAAGAAACCACCTAATAAAGTGGCAGCATTAGGTGTGTGGTTAACCGCAACGTATGCTGAGCATTCAATTACGAGTGTCACCACCCCTATTCATCCCGTGGGTGTCGTAAGAAGCGACTAAGGGAAAAAAACTAGGCAGGACAACAGCATTGCAGAGAGAAGGAAAACTTGACACAAACCCTATACAGACTGGTTCACTGACTGACCGATCAACGCTCAGCTGAAACCACTGGGTCTAGAAATACGAAATTTTGTTCCTTAGGTTATGTAGGTGTGCAATAAAAAACGATTTTTCAAAATTTCACCTTCAAGGGTGCAAAATGGGGGTTGGAAATGTATGGGAAACTTCGTTATTTTTGGTAGTGGCTTTTTCAAACTCACAGTAAATTCTTTTCAATAAAAGAAATAAAAAACGTTAATAATTTTTCAAAACTTCCCTTAAAAAAACCTTAAAACTGACGAAGTGGGTGTATTGTTAGTGTTTTCAATAAAACACGGATGTTTGAGGTCTTCAGCGTTTATTCTTGTAGTAATTCTTACACAGGCTATTATTATTAATATTAATATTATATGTAATGTAATAGTGTAACGTAATCTGCATAGTGTCTCACCAATCGTCTAAGAGAGAGAGGTTGTCACAATGTGATGTCATATATTGCCCCCGTGCGAATCTGGGGCCGCTAGTTTCAAATAAACATACTTGTATTTTTCTAAATTTATACTTACAAATACGAGTATTATATTTGATTTGGTATAGGGCAGACGGGTCACCTAATGTTAATTGACACCTTCAACTCAAGAGTCATGAGTGTGTTGTCGCCCTTAGAGTCAGGGCGAAGAGGGGTTTGGGCTCTGATAACCTCATTCACTCGGTTAAAATCAACGAAAGAATTACGTAACAACGGTTTTCAATTTAAGGATACCGAGTGCCACCACCTTAATTAATCTCGTGGGTGTCGTAAGAGCCGACTAAGGTAGCAAACCACGCAGGACAACAATACTGCCAGCGTAGTATAGTAGGCCAAAACCCCCTTTTCAAGGCGAGTCCTATGTCCAGGATTAGACTATTAATGGCTGTTATTGTGATGTAGTATCACTCCGGTCAAGTCGACTCATTTGTGCCTAAGGATGGCTCTCTCATATCCAGATATATAAATTACATCTAGACATGATGATGATGCCCTCGCGACGTATTCGTCGATTGCGAACCCCACAACCCCATACACCACACACACAGACATAGAACAATCTCATCACACAATATATTGGTGTAATGGTTAGTGATTTTGGATGATAAGCCGGAGGTCGTGGGTTTCTTTAGATGTACGAAAAAGTTTTCGTGTAGGTAGAAGTAAGTACTTAGTTTAAATTATGTGTAACTAAGTAGAGTAATAGAACGACCAGATAGGGTTCTACACCCTGATTTCCTCGCGCTACCGACATTTTCGGATATTACTTGAATGTTACACAGTCGTTTAGAAATTTCTAATGATTTTACAGAATTCCTAATGAGAGTAATGAACCATTTGCAACAGTCTCTATATAGATGTATTCATAAATTATTTTAGCAAGCTCTCTATAAATTCAATAAATGTATATGTACCACATTATTAAATCTCACCTGTTTAGAAGTAACTTATGCCTGCACACAGATCTTTATAAATATTATAGTAAAGTATTGACCATGTGTTTTATAAAAGCATTATAATTTAAATTCTAACATACTTTAAACATATATTTTGCAATTTTCAGTATTTGGACTTTGACAATTTACCCGAAACGAACTTTACATGCGAGGGCAAGGTTATCGGGGGTTACTATGCTGACCTCGAGACATCATGCCAGATGTTTCACGTGTGTACGGTGGGCCAGCACGAAGAGCCCATGGACATTAAGTTCCTTTGCCTCAACGGCACTGTGTTTGATCAGGTAACATTACTTTAATTATTTTGTATGTTATGCATTTTATTGAATCGATTGCAGGTGAACACAATACTTTCACGAAATTCATTTACCATTATAATTTAAATACAATTTTATCTTTTAACAGGAAACAAGAGTGTGTGAGAGAGTAGATGAAGTAGATTGTACAAAGTCTGAAAAGTTCTACAGCTTAAATCTAGAATTATATGGTAGCACAGTGCCACCGATCATACAGCCAGACCAACAAAAAAATCAAACTCAACCAACCGAACAATCTCAGCAGCAAACCAAACCAAACCAAGAAGCTGATCCTTCAATTGGTGATACTCCAACAACTACTCAAAATAAATTTCAAAGCCATGCAACTGATCCTACAGATTCAACTGAAGATCCTATTCAGGAAGTAAAAAATGATGACCCTAGAAATTCGTCGCACACGCAACATTCTCGTCCGCCTTTAACAGCCCCCGAAAATGAGGAACTTACCGAAGGTAATTTTTTTCAATAATTTGGTAAACAATTAGAAAAATCTTCAAATAATACTTTAAGAAAATAATTTGCATTAAATACGAGAAAAAATATTTAATATGTTAATGAACAACAGGTACTTAGTGCAGTGGAAATTTCTTAAAATTGATTCCAAAAAAAATCCTACAAATTCGTCCGGTCTTAAAATGTATTATTATTTATGACGACTGGATGGCGTAGTGGTTTATGTAACGGACTGCTATTCCAAAGGTCGCGGGTTCGATTCCCGCTCAAGTCAATCATTTGTTTGCATGAACATTTGATGTTTGATTTGGTCTGGGTGTTTTTATGTATAATATGTATGTATTTACAAAAAAAAAGTATATATGTATTTATATCAGTTGTCTAGTACCCATAGTACAAGCTCTGCTTAGTTTGGGACTACATAGATGGCGTTGTGTGTATGTTGTAGAATATATTATTATTATTATTATTTATTTGACAAAAAATCGTTTTTTAAAACAATGATTGTTTTATTCTTTTCACAGATTTTTATATAATTCGTTACTTTGTTGTTGTAAAGCTAAAAGGGTTTATTATATAACTTTCAGAGTACCAGGACGACGAATATGTTGAATATGAAGACTATGCACCACAACAATCGCCTTCTACGACACAGTCTACATCTACAACGACAACAACTACTACTACTACAACCACATTACGCCCTAGAACAACAACAATTGTACCTTCCACTTCATCTCATCTCCTTTCACCAAATAAATATGCGATATCTTCACCCTCCCCCATACCATCTTCCCTATCTCCATCATCACCAACGTTTCCTCCTTCTCAGCCTTACGTCCATTCTGGCCCTTCAGAACTTTCAGCGCCATCCGGTCCTTCAGCCCCATCAGTTCCCTCTGCACCATCATCGCCAACTTTGGATCCGTCACTTCTTTCACCACAGGAATTTATCTACCAACATCGAGGGCCAGGATCGGAAGCCATTTCGTTCTCGCGACCAAATTATCGCCCAGCAGATGGAGTATATATAACACATGCGCCGCCGTCACCACAGCAGTTTGACCACTTCCCGTACGAGTCGTCAAGAACTGCTCCTCGTCCTGCTGCTCCGCGTCCCACGTCCTTTGTACAACGACCTCATCCATTTCGACCAACTACAATAGATCCTCGTGATCAATTGCTACGTCCAGGACCTACTTCTCAACCCTCCGAAAGATATGAAACGTCTGTTAGACAGCAAAATCGACCTCAAACGCATTCCCAATCTTTACCAGCTCAAAGGCCGTTACCTTTTAACCCGTTTTACTATGATCGTAAACGAAGCGACGACTCAAGCAAAGAAACTGAATCTACTCTTTCAGCTCGATCTGTTGCTCCTCCAAACGTAACAGAAAAACCGAAAATCAAATTAAAAAGCCCTCCTAGAGTTATCGTCACAGCCAGTGCATCTGTCAGTGACAGCAATGGAAAACGATTAAACTATACGGTCGGTAACGTTGTCAGTGCTGTAAAACCAATAGTTGCTATAAATTATGACGACTATAAAGAGTCTGATTTGATTTTTGATCCATTCTTTCTCGACGTGCCAAAACTTCAAAAACGACGAAAAACTAGGTCTAATATAAATAAAAATATATTTACAGTCCCTTCTACCATAACGGTAGCAAGCAAATTGCCGTCACAAGAAATAACATCGACAACATCGCCGGTTACGTCACGAGCTACTACAACACACAGACTTTCTAGTACACCGGCAATCACAACGACAACAGCTGTTTGGAATCCGAATGACTATGTTGACGATAACTACGAGCCTCATGCTTATATTCCACCTATACCACCCTTTGCGGTTTTAGTGCCTCACGAGTTGAATAAGTATAAGAAATACGAAACACAAACTAAAAGCGATTTAGTCGAGGATAAGACCCATAGAGATTACAAATCCAATGTTGACAACGCTGAACAACCTAGGCCGACGTCGACGTCTACAGAGCAGACAACCTCTAGTCATAGTGCGGGAGCGGGGCAGGCTCCCCCCACTGCCTCGCCACCGCCCCCGCCGCTCCTCGAGGCGCCAACTTGCGCCACGTCGCGCTCTACTGACTGTCGAACTCGTGCCTAATTAAACTTAGTACACTTTATATGATAAATAGATAAATACATAGTTACATATTTAGATAGGTAGAAAATTTAACAATTTTTCAGACGTATGAGTTACTTTGATGGAATGTATTGAAGTATTTAAAACAAACAATAAAAACTCTAATATTCGAAAGTTTTATGTTCTAGTAAGAAATATTATTTCATTAAGCTCTCTCCGAACAGGCACAAGGAATCTCTCTTACATTAGTTACTGATTATATTTTTAGAGAAGATATGTGTATCGTTTGTGACACCAGTTCGAAGGAAGCTTTAGTATTTATATATATTTTAATTATTATAAACATTGTAAATAAAATACGAATTCTCATGTCTCGATATCATTATATTTTAATTTTTTACATATTTTTAGTTTGTATTGATATTTATGAAGTAAGCCTTGTAAATAACGCTAAGTATACTGAGGTTTCTAAAACAGTTATTTATTTTACCACCCAAAATAAAAACACACAAGATGTAGACGTAGAAATTACAGTAAGTACTTTAACAATTAAAGTTTTATTCACCTGAAGGTTCATATAAAGATAAAGGTAAGTATATATGTACTTTTTAGTTACAGTTTAAGATAATCTTATGACAATGAGATTGTTGGTAAGGGGATCTAATCAGGGGCAGCCTTTAGGGGTGGCGAGCAGAGCAACCGTCCGGGGCCTCGCTCTTACTCGTACAGGGGCCTTGCGCACCCGCGCAACAACTGGGATCTTCCGTGTTTCATTTCGCCTGTCATTTGACAGGCTTCCAGTGTCGACTGCGTTTAGCTTTTACTTTTATTTTCGATCAGCAGTATGTGTTGCGTTGCATTACTTGTTTCAAGTATCATCATTAAAACTAATTGCAACAGATAAGGATTTGCAATGATCTATCCGCCCGGGGTCTTGCAATGGCTAAGGCCGCCACTGGTAAATAAAAATACCCATGCCCAGCAATGGACTGCAAAAGGCTGGTGATGATGATGATTCATGAGTGTTGCAATAGTGCTTACTGTATTCATAATCTCTCTCGAGATTTACCGTGCATCAAAGTCATCGATTCACAATACACAATAAACAAAATATATATTAATATTACATAACTAGCATAGGTCATCTACCCAGATACTGCAAAAATGTTTAGGATCCGTAGCTGATTGTTGTTTTCGTAATACTGAGACGAAATAAATAAAATGTGTGTCTTCAGCCCTACAAATCTTAAACGGTGGTAAGTATGTAAAAACAAATCTCCCTTTAGTTGACCAGAGAAGATGTAAGCAACATCGTATTAGCACCACCATACATATAGAACAATAACACATTATATTTGAATTTTGTGCCCATACTATTGCTGTATTGGGCTCACATGATAGTAAGACACTTTTTTTCTTTTCTTTTCGCCCGCACTAGGAAGAAATCCTGTGTGGAACTTTACAAACATACATGAATTAAACGGACACAAAGAACAACTAAACTCATAACAAAAATTTGTGGATCACAGAAAGTGATGTATCATGTGGGGATCGAACAAAACTTACGAAACGAATACGAATATGAACCCACGAAACGAATATGTCGATAATTATACACGATATCATTATCGTTTGTGTTTGTCTCATGACAAAGACCTTCAACAGGCTGTCTGCTGCACTCTCTTTCTATAATCAGACGGTGTCATTAGTTCATCAGCAACGATGATCAAAACTTTCCTGGGATGTGCTCAGTTATCACAGGATGTAACTTAATTCAACATCGTTTGTTTGTTTAAGAGTGCGAGAATATTTTGGAACGTTAAGATGTAAAAAACAATGTTTTTTAAAATCACTATATCATATACTCATAATCATAGTTTTCTTTGCCTATACTTAATATGAGACTTGTGAAATAGAGGAGCTTAGACTATTTTTCTCCGTGTTTAACAGAATGCTTTACGAAAATCAGTAACTTTTGCAACTCAAGTTGGTGAGAGTTATAAATGTGTGTTATAATGGTTGAACCGCAACAACATGCTTTTAAATATAAAAAGTCATAATCAAAGTGATTCTAACTATGAAGTGGTTTCTACATCCCACTTGTAACTAATAGATGTAGATTTGCCACGTTGTATAAGTAATCGTCAATCTTCAAAAGATGCCAGAACCTTTGACAATCAGGTCAACTTGAGGTGAGTAGGCCGTGGATGGCCAATTGACTGGATACGACATTTTTTCTGATGAGCACTGATGAGTTTGTTGCTGTCCTATTATTAGAAACTACAATACTTATATTAAGTTTCAACTTTAAAAGTCAACAAATTATAAGTTTTATTAATCATTTATTTTCTAACTATAATTTAGTGAAAATGATAAGCAACATTGATGGTTTGATTTTGTTAAAATTCAAAATTCTTTTGACCTGTTCATTGTATTTTTAATATTATCATAAATCCCACTTTATCTTCATCACTGTGTTCGCCTAATGAAGAATAAGAAATTTTAGTGGAATATTGTAGGAATTTCTTCCTAAAATATTTTAAGTACTCGTTCATTTTCATACTAGTCTATTTTCCGCAGCTTCGTTATCGCTCACATAGGGATTCTTAAAAATTCAAGATAAAGTGTTCAGCCTATGTTTTATTTATTTTTATGGAAGAGGGTCACCTGATGTAAATCGGCTACAGCCGCCCATGAACGCCTGCAACTCAGGAGTCACAAATGCGTTGCCGGCCTTTTAGGAAGCAGTATGCTTTTGTATTGTATTTTGAATTCTACTATTATCTGTTCAAAAACCTAATACAATTGATTCGTGTCAAAAAAACTTTTTTTCGAGAATATTAAATTTATTATTAACGCACAGGTACAATATTTGTTTGTAAAATAAAAAGAAGTCTATAGCACTCACAGATAAAATACCTTCCTAACAGTAACATAATTTTCAAAATCGGATCAGTAGTACCGGTGTTACACCGAAGATACAAACTCACAAAGTTCACCTCTTTATAATATTAATAGGCATAGATGGCTCACCATTGTCCCAATACATACTACGAATCATCTCATTACCATGTTTAGATAAATTAGATTTGATTTACCTAATTGACAACCATGGATCCATAAACAAATAAATGAAGTCCGAATTCATACGGACGGTTCCAAGATGGGATTCTAAAAATAAACTATATTCCAATGTGAATATGTGGCAAAACCTACGCCGCTTAAATAGTTATGTCAAAGGTTATTTATCAGCCGAATACTATTAAAAAGAGCATGACCATCTTATAGAACTGGAAGGCAACACAATACACTGTTATCTTGTATTCAAATGCCATCGAACATTGAAAAAATCAGGTACCTAAGGGTTTGGCAAAACTAGTAACTGGACCGGCGACACTTCTACCTCTGCCATTCCTGATACCAGATGGCTCCTAGAAGCCTGCGAACACTCTAGGAGTCTTTTATGCCTCTGTAAGAAGCTAGGGGTTAGATCATCTCATAAGACTGATACGGATCTTTTCCTATCAAAATGAAAATATGAAAAAGTATCATGCCTACCGTCCTTTTTTTCTCTATGTTTTAATTTCTCTTTGATATATATAATTATATTTTAGGTTAAAATTTGACGTGTAGAATGTCATTTTTATAGCTGTAGTTACCTTGCTACATTATAATCTATGGTTGTAGTATGGATTATAATATATAGGATACCATCTAGATTAGAGTTTTGATTTTATTAAATATTAGAATTTATAAATACTCATTTAGATTTTTGTAGCATATTTTAAACAGAATTTCATAATGGAGTCATCATCGGAGTTTGCGAAAGAAGACGATGTAATAGCTAGTTTGAGTACTTTCGATATAATGAATGTTAAAACACTAATAGAGAGAGCTTTTGGTTGTATAGATGTAAGTAATATATACACAAAAAAACTATATGATCTTATAAAGTTAAGTATTTATCGGTTATTTGAATTATTTTAGGAGAACAGAGTAAACTTTAAACTCATTCAAACAATACTTTTTCTGTTGGCCCGACAACTGAGAATTTTAGATAGACGCGTTGCATTTGAGGGACCATTTGCAAATGCAATGGAAAACCTTAGCAGCCTAGCAGTTACCGAAGTTAAAGTACATGCAATGCAGTCGAAAAAGAAAGGTAGGCAAAGAAATATTCTCAAATTTCAAGTATTTCAACAATAAATTCTAGTTCCATCAATAAATTTTCTAAACTTGGTGCTAGCTATGTGCTTATAACAAATAATAGAATCCAGATAATACTATTTCAGGTAGCAAAAAGGGTGCTGATAAAAATGCAATGGGTAAATCCAAACTAGACAAAGGAAAAGATGGTGGCAAAAGTCTAAAGGTAAATTTTACTCTAATTTCTTAAATATGTATCTAGAAATAAAGTTAAAACATCTATGCATTCTACAGCTAGAGAGATACCAAAAAGCCTTGGAGGATTTTATCATCAAGAGGGAAAAAGAACTTCGAGTTATTCACCAGGTGCAATTTTATATGAGTTTTAGGGAGTTTTCTTTTGTTTATTTTGTTTTGTTTTAGCGATTTATTTAATCGTGATCACATACATACGTAAGTATAGAGGTAAGTGGCAAATATAATTATAGTATTTTGAAAGAGCATAAAAAGAAGATAATTAAGTAAATATACTCAGAAGTGTAACAATCAAAATGAATTTGCCTACATTAACACTATTAAGGTATTGTCACACACATAGTAAATGGAATACCAAAATTTTTTCACTATCAATTCTTAGGAACCTTACTGTCAGTTTTAGTTTTATTTAAAATTAAGTAGGTGCTTTTGTTACTCTGTTTCTCTGCGTGCCCGTCTGATTAGTAATTTGGTCACAGCGTTTATAGAATAAAAAGCGTCGATAGATACAGTTTGAACCAAAGATTATTCAGGTCAATTGGATATAAGTTAGAAAACCTCTAACAATATCTTACAAAGTTTACGGTTTAACGATTGATTCAGATATACTGGATATATTCGAAAGTAGATCCCACAAAATTATCAACCCACCCAATACTGATAACTAGTGACCGAAGAAAAAAAGCTCTTTCGAACTGCATAGAGATCAGTGTCACTTAAAAATGGAACGGTACCATATATGTAAACATCTCAAATTTGACCCGGAAGGGTCCGGCAGAAATTGGTGGCTAAAACATCGCTTTAATATCGAATCATCGTTTTCTACAATATATTTTCTTGACAATATCAGAACTACATTCGGTCCAAACTGACGAATATGACGGCTTTATTGTACCCTCTTCTATATAGACAAACCTCCCTTACTATATACGATTGTTATTGACAGGTTGCCAGATATAATTGTGATTGTTCTTATAATAATTCCTTATTTTTTATAGAGAACTGATTCAAATGTGGAACCAGATTCAGCACCAAAACCAATGGCTTCCATAGATCCTATGGGTGAGTGGCTTTTTAGTTTTTTCACAACTCCCGGTGCCCTCTGCTTGCTACGTGAAGTTGCAATAAAATGCTTGACATACAATTATTACGCATTCTATGTAAATAAACTATTCTAACATACGGGCTCCAACGTGTTATTTTTAAACTGACTTTAAAAATACAAAAGAGGAGGTTATGAAATTCGTGGGCATTTGTTTTTTTTTTATGTTTGTTAAGAGATATCTCTGTCAATTGTGGACCGATTTTCAAAATTATTTTTGTAATCAAAAGCTTATACAACCGAGATAGTTCCATTACCACCAAATCAGGATTTGAAGATGGGATCCTAGAGAAATCAAATTTGCCGGCCCGACAACGTGTTTCTCTAACTATTGAGGTATTTGCGTTTAGTAGTGATTATGTCATGTTGCTGAGCTGATGATAAAAGGGTCCTTGACCTTTAGGAGCTAGAGGATAACAATTTCTAAAATCTAATCATGTATTGACCTTGTTTCTTTCTTTCAAGATATTTGTGTGTGGGTGGTGTTGGGTTAAAGAGATATTTGCACAAAAGAGTAATATATGAGATTACAAAACATTTAGACAAAAAAAAATGAAATAAAATTATAAAAAATTATACCATATTATAATTATTATTAATTTATTACCTCAAAACTCTTTCATTTGTAAACAGATTATGAGAATCCTCTTTTTTATCTGGAAGGGTATCTTTCCCCTTTACCTCCATTCAAATGTGAAGAAAAATTACCACTACCTATTTGGAAAATTAAGTAATGTGGAAAACAATATATTTTTGGGTTCAAATGTAACATCTTACCACCTTATCTAAATAAAGTAACGGACTTATTAAACCATGTTTAATATAATCTAACATACAACTGTTTGGTACCATACAGTATGGCTTAGTGTTTTAAATATCGTACTTATCTTTATCTTAAACTAACCATGGTAAAATAAATCCTTTTCAAAAAAAAAGTTCACCAACCGACTTCAAACAATATTGACAAAGAGCATTAAAAATTATGAACTTAAAACAAATCTAAGTAAAAAAACTATAATAAGTACCAATATAATAGGTAACGTCATAATAGCAATAGTCCCTACTAGTCTGTTTGAAGACGGTGCCAATCTTTATTAATCAACAAATTCTGAGAATTATATTGAATTCTTAAGTTTTTATTGTGCTAATATAGAGCTGACATAGACCAGTATTACTTATTGTACATCGGGCTTGGCACCAATACCAACAGACTAGAAGGGACTATTGCTATTATCATGTTACCTGTAACATTTAGGGTACTTATTATAGCTTTCTTACTTAGATTTGTTATTATTTTTACTTTTTTAGTGCTTTTTGTGAGTATTGTTTGAAGTCTTATCAATTGTCTTTTTTTAAGGGTTTATATGTATTCCAATCAAACTAACCTCTATAACGAGCTGCAAAACTGTATACTACTCTTGTCAGAATGGTCTGCCGTCATCGGCAAAGTTTGCGGTTACCTAAACATAATACCTTATATTAGAAAGAAATGTTTTAGTACCTACTGTCTCGCTTTGGCTATAAATGAAATAGTAAAATTTTTAAGCAACTGAAAAATGTTAATAATTACATTCATCCACATACACGTACAGAAACCGTGAATTTTTAATTCATTATCGGTTTAGCAATCAGTGTAAAGCTGTGTTGCAGTATGCAGTATGCATTTGAAAAATAAAATTTTAACGATGAAAATTTCGAAAATGACCACCAGATGCAGATCCATTTATTCATAGTATCGAATCAGCAAAGGTCATGACGTGTATGAAGTATGACGCACTGCGATTAACTAAACTATCATCCTACTGTCGATAGTATGTACCGCCAGTACAATACAATAAACGAAATAGTCGCAACCAGTTTTTATGAACTGCTTTTTGCCTGTACATGCAATTCTTTACTTAGTTTTGGATTATGTACAGGGTATTCAAGAAAGTTGTTTTGAATATGTTAGAATCTAAACCTTGCAAATATCAAATTATAAACTAAACGATTTTAATAAAATTTGGCTAGCAGATACGTTAATTCTTGTGGAAGAACATAGGCTAATTTCTACTGCGACAACTGACATATACGCGGACGGAGCCACGGGCAAAAGCTAATAGGTATTTGCATAAAACAAAAAGTACAATTTAAAAAAATAACAGAAACTTTACAATAAGTTGTTTAGAAATGTGCTCCTATAATACCAAAAGCATTTTCACAAGAAAAAACTTCTAAAACCATTATTTTTGCACTTTACAGTAATGTTACATTTAGGTGACACATAATGCTTCTTATATTCCATTACACCTGTCTGTAACAACCTGCACTTGAGTGGGTAAAACATCAATTAAGCACTGTTAATATATTCTAACACTTCTTTTTTAATTTTACAGAGGCACAATATGAAAAATTACTCGTCGGTAAGATTCCAGTACTTTAGTATATTAATTACTTTCCATTTTTAAAAACTTGGCATCACATGGCTGTCGGATTTTGACTGTTTTTAATGGTTTATTTTATCGGCTTAGAGTTTTGTACCCTAATAGAACATTTTTTTTAAATAATATATACTAAACTAGGTAGTAAGTAGCTTTTATAGCCGTTTTTATCTTTAGAATACATACTGCTTAAAAATCACCTTTGTATACTCGTTCTACACATAAATATACTCGTACTTTATGTATTTCTAATTTTGCCTTCCTATATGTGCTTAGGTGTGCCTTTGCTTATGATCAGCTAGTTCTCATTAATCTGTTAAAACGTTGTTAAAAAGTATTTAAAAACCTACTGAAATACGTTTAACTTATGCTCTTTGATAGTACTGATAGTTGTATAAACTAAATATCGCAAATTATATTATTATCAGTTTGTAACTATCAGTTGTTATTTTTGTTAAGATAAATTTCCGTCACAAACATTAATTTATTCACTGATGCATATAAAAAATTGATAGTAATGTTTTTAAGTTGATGTAACAAAAATGTACGTGTATTCTTTTTACAATCCCATGTCTTCTTACTCTTCCTCCTAGACTTAGTCCCAAACTAGGTTGGGGTCAGTTGTAAGTCTACTACGATACGGCTGACCTTTGATTTTTACGCGGAGCGACTGCCATCAGACCTCTACAACCCAAGTACTAGGCAATATTAAAGTTCTAATCACATAACATGTAAAGTGAATGGCACCGCCATCTGTGGGCAGCTCTTTGGCAATGTTTTCTTTCCAATGCTTGTGCCAATTTTTTGTGGCAATTTTGAAATTTGTATGGCAAGGTAAGTTTAAGTTATTAATTCTGATCAAATATTATTGTCCCAAACCCCCTTTCTCAGGATATGCCTATGTCCAGCAGGGGACTATTAAAGGCTGTTGATGTTATGTGATGTGATATGTGAAATATTATTCACAATCTGATCTTGGGATCAATCGGGGATCTATTTGTACCTAGGGTCAATAAAATCGGACACTAAAGCACACCTTATTTCTATAATGTTTGGTGTGCAATGAATATTATAAATATTTATACTCGTACTCGCGGTATTCTTTCAAGTTGTTTCGGTAATTCTAAGTATATTAGGTATATAATTTTATTTTTTCTCTTTATGACAGTTGAAAGAGTATCCTCCAGTAGTAGCAGAGCAAGTAAGTAATAAAGTTTATAAATAACACTATAACATAAAAACTAAGAAGCTCTACTAATGGCATGAATAAAATTATTTTACTACCACTACTGTTTTTGGGTCCCAATTTTTCAAGAAACATGGATTTTGCTGAAATTTTGACAGTAAGTAGGAAATACCTCATAAAGTAAAATCTACCCTATGCATGTCTAGTTTTTCGTTAGGGGTTTTTTTTCGTTACATCCCTAAGTAGAGGGTGGTAATTATAAAAAAACAGGAATCGATTGATATAACTAAATAATCTAGTAGGGCTTATTACTTATATTTTCAATGTCTGTCTGTCTACGGGAGTCTTCCCTTCGACTCTCAAAAAATCACTTGTGGATCCAATCCACAAAAGTGGCTGTGGAGACAGTTTCACCAATTATCGGCCAATATCAATTTTGCCTACTCTATCAAATACAGAAACAGAAAATATACTTTCGGAAAATCAATACGGCTTCCATAATGCTATTACTTATAGTGATGAAGTTTATCAGCTCACTGATACTATAGTCACGAAGCTTGACAACAAGAAGAAAGTACTATCTATATTTATCGATATCGCAAAGGCTTTTGATACCGTCTCTGCGCCACTCCTGCTGAGGAAACTGAATATCTTGAAGTCCGTGGCACTCAGCTCGATCGTTTTAATTGCTATTTAACTGGTAAATCGCAATATGTTAAAGATGGGGATTGAATAAGTGATCAACCTGAAATTACAAACTCCTTAATTCTTCAAGGGAGCATCTTAGGCCCTACTTTTTTTTAAATATTGATTAACGACCTTTGCGAACTAAACTTACAAATGGAAACATTATTACATTTGTGGACGATACAGCTCTCCTGTTTTATGATGACACGACAAGATGTCTTCCAATTCGCCCAGGTCGGTTTTTCACGGGTGACTACTATGCTCAGAGACAATCTACTTATACTTAACACAGACAAAACCAAATAGGTACATTGCATTTGCTCTATCAAACAATTCCCTTAACATTAACCCAGATTTCTACATATCAGCTCATACATGTAACAATAACCTTTCAAAAATATGTGAATGCCCTAAATCACAAAATGTTGTCTCGATTAAGTATCTTAGTATAATTAGTTAGTTGAAAAAAAAAATAGATTTCAATATACACATCGACCTATTAGCAAAACGTATTAGGAAACTCATTTACATCTTTGCGAACCTACGAAACGTTGCCGACGAGAAGGTACTTCGGACTACCTTGCACTATGTCAATCCTTACTGACGTAATGTATTACAGTATGGGGAGAAGCTTCAGAAACTCATATGTTAAAACTAGAACGTGCTCAAAGAGCAGTTCTCAAAGTTGCACATTGCCTTCCCTTTTTTCATCCAACAAAAGAACTTTACGTAAAATGCAAGGTTCTAACGGTCCGTCAACTCTTCGTTGTCAACACTATTCTGCGCAAACACTCACAGATATCCTATCAATCTACATTAAAATAAAAGTTTACCCTAAAATATTATGTAAAAGTAGCCTCTCACAATGCAGCTACTGTTTCCTAAGTTATTATTTATACAACAAAATTAATTCTGTCCTTAATTTATATCCTTAAACCAAGGTTTAATGTATGCCAATACTTACTTCACATCTTTTGGAATACAACTACGACTCTACTGAAAAATTACTAACCATCGCAAAAAAAAATTAAGCTCTGAAACTAATACACGCACGCACACACACCTACACACACATAAACAAGCGCGCGCGCACTAGCGCACACACGCACACACGAACGCGCATACTCATAAAAATTAAACCACTATAAATGTTTTTGCTGGGCAACGATGTTTAACTTTTGTTTCGTTATTTAGACAAGTATAATACAAACATTATAGTATGATGGGCCAGGTAATCTACATATTTAAAGATTTCAGCATTGAATTACGAAAAAACGGTACATTTTAAGATGCAAGTGCTCAGGATCTTCTATAAATTACATTAAAAGACCCTTAAAATAAGTTTTTATAAAGGCCTGTAGCATAAAAACTAATGGAATTGTGGCAAAAATAAGTTGGTTTCGGTTTTCACTAGCAATTAAAAAAATCAACAATAAAACCCTTCTCATTACTACCCTTATTGGATAATTCCAATAAGGGTAATGAGGGTAATGAGATGTTACATATTTAGAAATTATTTTACTTAAACATCTTTACATAGTATAAAATAAAGTCACTTTTTTGTGTTGTATGTTCAGATCTTTTAAACTAAGCAACAGATTTTAATGCGGTTTTTAACAATATAGAGAGTCATGAGGAAGGTTTATATGTATAATACATGCATATTAGAGTAGAGAAAATCCGAATTTCAAAAATTTATTAGGGGTAGTGTTCACCTCAAAGAGTCATTACCAGACATCCGGCATTGATAGAGTGGAAGGTAAGTAAAGTTAAATTCCAATTATTTTTTAAGAAAATGTTTCTTTCTTGAAAAAATTGAGGGATTACACCTTATTTTTACCGCCATACGCTGGACTATAATGTTGGAACAGATTTCACAGCATATGTTTTTTTTCGCTAATTTATTCATTGTTCAAAACCAATGTTATTTGAACCACATGTAAACATTTTAAACCAAATTGCTTAAAAGCTACGTAGTGCTACAAAATACATATTTATTTAAGTTAAAACTATATCTTACTGTCATCTGAGTTTTTTTTTCATTTAAGGTCGTACTAGTCCCAAACCATCTGTGGTAACTCAAGAAGAATTCATGAAGTTGGCAAAGACGGTACGAGCACTTCAAGCTCACTTTGGACCAATTGGAACTGCCGGATTTCCTGCAAATGCTCAACTTATGGAAAGCCTTCGTCAAAATGCGTCACTCACCGACGCTATGGCGGCACTGCAACTTTCAGCTCGTCTTGAAGCTGTCGAGAAAGTACTCGGGCGTATGACGCAACTACTTTCTACAGTACTTAGTGCCACACCGGGAATAGCAGTAGACGTAAGTTTTTTTTTTATACAAGCTGAAAATCGATCTGTCTTAGTGGCGTGCAATAGGAGAGGCATATGTCCAGCAGTGGACTGCGATAGGCTGATGGTAATGATGAATACAAACTCGTGATGATCCTTGTCAAAGATGTTTATTTGTTGTTTTTTATACTTAATGTTGTTTAGTGTACAGAAAAGTTTGGTCTTATTTTAGAACCATTATTAGTAGCCGTCAAATCATTGATTTAAATTTAAAAGCAGAAAATTGTAGTTCTATCGATCACAATTTGAAAAACCTTGCTGAAATTTCAAGTTCAAATTATCAGTATCAAAATAAGATTTGTGCCTTCGTGAACATAATTGATGGGCTACGAATCTATATACAAAAACATGTTTTATAATTAGATGATATAAGAAAGACCTAAAAAACAAGCGCAGCAGGTTGCTGTTGACGTAAGTCGTAGATAGGTGTCAAAATGTCTTTTTTTGTTGACGGGGTGGAAAATCCGTTCGGATCTCCAGCTCCTTGGGGATGTAGGAGCCAGGAGTATGAGGTGTTTCCACTAAAAACCACCCCGACGGCGGAATTCAGGCCCTACTCCGAAGAGGACCCGGACCATGTTATTTCAGCCCCCCACCCCGGATCGACGCCGCGCCCAGTAAAGCCCTATCCCGGGGAAGCTGCGGGCTTCCCCCGCCTATCGGCCCAATCGTTATAATATGTTGAGGTCCGATCGTATTTTTGCGACCAGGAAAAATATAGACTGCGTCTATATATATATAGACTGGAAGAATATGGCCGAATATGTTACTGATGTGGACAACAAAGTCAGTATTTTCAATGACACCATCATCAAGTTGTATGACGTCCACGCTCCTATTAGGATAATAAAACTGAAACGTGCTCCTTGGAAGACGGAAGAGGTCCGAATGGCAATGAGACGAAGGGATCAGTCCTTTATACGCTGCAAGGATCGGTGTAACCAAGTGATACGCAATGCTAAACGCCGACGCATTCTTCAAAACATAGAGTCTTCTTCTTCTTCCAGTATCTGGAAATTTCTTGGTACATTAGGTATTAGCGAACGACAAAATCCCGAGTTCAAAAATACTATTGGTTTGAATGATTTCTCATCTGCAACTACGCTTTATCTTCAAAATAAGTGTCAAAACTTGAACTATATATCCGTTCTAAACATTCCCACTACTGACTCATTAAAATTTTCTCCGGTGCCTCCTGAGGATATCAAAAAGATTATCCTATCTATCCACTCTAATGCAGTAGCGTATGATGGTATTAGCCGTCGCATGATTGTTACTATCCTGGCACAAGGCTTACATCATCCCACTCTCAAAAAAAAGTAATCCTTTACTTCCTGAACATATTAGACCTATTTCTATTCTTCCCTTTCTATCTAAAGTGCTCGAGGCCTGTGTCTACAAGCAGCTTTCAGAATTTGTATACCGACAAACTAAGTCCCTCTCTTGAGTCCGTAAACCTCAACAGTCCGGCTTCAGGCCCGGTCACAGCACTGTTACCGCCCTCCTCAAAGTGACTGGCGATATTAGAAGGGACATGGCAGACACTAAGGTTACAGTACCAGTCTTGGTTAACTTCTCTAATTCGGGACCGTCAATCACGAAATCCTACTATCTATCCTCACACATCTAATGATTCCCACCGAGGCACTGGAATGGATGACACTGGAACGAATCTTCAGGGACGACAGCAGTGTATTCGTGTCGAAGTCGCCTCTTCAAGCTGGTGCGACCTCCACTCTGGCGTCCCACAAGGCGGAATATTATCTTCTCTTTTATTTATTAATCTCATCACACAACATCTTCAGCGTGCGTATCACCTGTATGCTGATGATCTGCAGCTGTATTCAGGGGCAAGGGTGGAGGACGTAACGTAGGCCGTTAACGAGGTTAACAGGGACCTAAAATTATATATATGTGTGTACATGTGTGTGTATATATATGTGTATAGTGTGTATTTGTTTGCGTATAAAATTACGTGAGTTGTATTGTATAGTGTATTTCTTAGTGATTAGTGTTATAACCTACTTGTGCCTGCAACAGCAACCAATGCTGCGCTTGTTCTTTTCTTTATGCAATCAGGCTTTCATGAAAAATAATAATAAATTAGTATCGTAATAAAGTTCTTTCAGGTGCCTCAATTTATTATTATTATATTATGATGTGTGACGAAGCAGTTAAATTTCTAGTACTTTGTCCACTTGTACGATATAGGAAAATTCATATTAATTTTATCACTGAAAAATATATTAACTATTGGAAAACTGATATAATGTTACTTTTAATGTCTTTATATAATATCAATGGTCGCATGGTGCTGTTATGTATGTATTTATATACTTTATAACATATTGTTATGTATAATTTCTTACCAATAGAGTGAAACGAGAGTTTTTCTTGGGGAGCATGCAGCTACCGATTTGCCAACAATGTCTCAAATGGAAACGGGCAGGCCTATTGATGGTACAACTGTTTTGTTACGACCCTCGGATTACGAATATCAGGCAAAATCCGGCGATGAAAGTGATGCTGAAGTTGAGGACGAAGATTTTGTTACACATAAGCGACTTAGGTAAACAATATGATTGAATCATATTTTACTGTTCTTATAAAAATAATTATCCGGTTAATTATCGATAACTCATGCTCTAGTAGCATTAGCTTATAGCAGTTGTGTATAAGTTTCTGTAGTAGCAGCAAGATAATATAATTGGTCAAAAAACTAAGTATTTTTAAACATACATGTGTAAGTCTACACTAATTACTACGTTTTTGCGCCATATAGGGAGGCATTTAAACATTTAAAATTTTATTAAATTTAAATATTTAATTTTGATAAGCCTTTTTCATTTTTTTATCAAGTTTTCTCCAATATCTTTTTCAGGGTTGCGGTCAAGGACTTGAACGATGTAGTTTTAAAAGAAATGAACGAAATAACCGAGCGTAATACATCTAGCGCTAACCAAGCCTTAAAACTAGCAAGTAACTTAGGTAAATGTCTACGTATTAATATATTTTATCACGAAAACTTCCCGGAAAAATGTGAGGAAAATAAATCATACCCAGATATAGAAGTTACCGACAATTAGCTAAATTGAACCAAATCCATTTTACGACCACTTTAACTGCTGCGCTGTCTATGCAATTATATTTTATAAATAAAAAAACACACACTTATTACCTTCACGCTAATGTAACTAATACAATATTTTATTTATTAGAAACCAAACTAACCACATCATTGAACGTGGGTCCAAGGATGGCCAATTTAGAAAGCGCAGTCAGTGCGTATACGGAACAAATAAATGCCATCGATACTGGATTATCTTCACAGGTAGAATTGCTTATTACGTCAAGGCGCGTTTAATTATAAAAAAAATCAGTGCAAAAGCATACCTTGTATCCTAAGAAAACTACGTGAAAGTTACTAAATTAGTTGAAAAAATCATAAATATGTAATGCGTGCGAAGCCGGATACAAATGCTATTATATTAACAAGTAGGTTAATGATGCTCAAAAGTATCTTCTGGAACTTCTTTAGTGGGCAGGTTACCTCATAAAAATAAACGGTGGATGCAAGTAGCTTCCAACCGCCCTTCAGTTATTGAGAGGGCCTATATCCAGCAGCAGTCGTATTACTGTAATGATAATATCATAATGATAGAATCTTCTTTAAATTGTTCTTCTTTAATCCTCTACAGTTTATGATATCAACAGACGCCTTTCATGAACTAGTCATTTTGTCAGTTTAATATTTCTATTTAGTCAGTTTTTTTAAATATTATATCGTTAAAAGTGCACTTACATTGTGTAACAATACTTGTAGATGAGTAACTATCAAGAACAACTTACACAAATGCAACATGAATTAGAAATTGGACTGGATGCAATGGCGGAAGCTATGGCTAATACCGGAGGAGACACAGTCGGTAAGTTTGGTTTGAAGGAGACCGTCTATTGTCACGTTTAAGTACCTATTTCGCTCGAACAAAGACCGAGCGACGGACGATTGATGCTATTTCTAAGAGTGCAAAGGATTTTATTGTCTATTTTAAAAGAAATGCACGTATTTAGGATTTTTTATTGCATAAATATATGTTTTTAATATCATTAGTTAAATTTTTAGCATTTTAGCAAGTGGCCGGGATATTAGGTATTATTTTGAATGTCTATGTTGTCTGTAGTGTTTTGTTAAATTGTTTATAGTTGTTCATAGAATTGGTACCTCTATAGTATTTGTTACTAAAAAAAAATTATAGGGTAGGTAGGTAATTTAAGTTTTTAAGAGTGTCACGTGTGCGTTGAATATTTTGTGAATAGGGATATTTTTTTAAATAGATAATGTTAAGTGACGAATTTTCGAGGGCTAGCATATCTCGAACAAACTCTGAATTGAAACATTATTTCTCTAATAATGTTGGAGAAAGTAAAATAGTAGACAATTTTTTGATCACGTAAATCGCGGTGGGTTAGATTATAATAAAATAAGTTATTTATGTAAAATTAGTGGTAAGTGATATATATCTACCAACAAGTTACGATCGTTTTTAATTTACTTACCTCGAACGATATTAGCAAATAATATTAGCATTAGCAATTAACATGCTAAGGCATAAGAATTCTCAATTAATTTAATTAAATCTAATTAGCATTAATGCCCATTGCTAATGGACAGGGGTTATTACTAACACATAGTGTGTCTATTAAGTACAGATTTATGGATATCTTTAGATTTATATATACATATTAGATATAACTTAAGTCAACACTTAAAATATTTTTTATTTTGGCAGCAATGGGCGAACTTAATAATAATTTCACGGCTCTTCAAATCGACTTTGAAAGCATGTTGTTCCGACAAAAAAGAGTTTCCGATGGCCTCGAAGCGGTGCAAGCTAATTTATCTGTTAGTATGGACGTATTTACTACTAAATTATTTTTATTAGATTGATAAATATTAATGGACATGTTAAAAAAAAGACTTTTATCAGTCATCAATCATTATCATCAACAGCCTTTACTAGTCCACTGCTGGACATAGGCCTCTCCTTAGAAAGGAGGTTTTGGCCTACTATACCACGCTGGCCAGACGGGTTGGTATAGGGTTTGTTTCAAGTTTTCCTTCTCTTTGCAGTGCTGTTGTCCTGGGTAGTTTACTTTCTTAGTCGGCTCTTACGACACCAACGGGATGAATAGGGGTAGTGACACTGTATTCTTAATCCGTCACCATACGGACTTTTATCAGTAAATCGAGTTGGTTTACAACTTGAAAAACATTTACTGTGACAGAAAGAACAAGGTTCAGAGTGGGTAAATAAAAAACTAGGCAATAAGCATGGGAAAACTGATAGTATATTAAAAAGGAAGTAAGTAGAGAAGGTGGTGAAGGGTAAAAGATATTGCCTGTACAGATGGATTGGGCAGTTTAAGCACTGATAAGTGTTTTGAATATTTTATTTTAATTTAAAAAAAATCTTGTAAAGTATTAAAAATTCTACCTCGTCCATAATTTGAATGTTCATGAGTTTACAGAATTTGTGGAAACAAATAGAAATGCTGCGAGAGACAAAGTCAGACCGTGATGAAGTGGCAGACGCTCTCCGCGATAAAGCTGGTATTAAAGACTTGAATGGTCTTGTGCCACTCGAGCAATTTGACGCTGTTAGAGGTGATTTCGAAAAGCGAATTGAAGCATCGTATAATAAATTTAATAACCAAGAACTAATTTGGCAAGTAAGTAAGGTCAACGCACCAACATTTCTGTTCAGAACTTTATACTTGACCCTCGCTCAACAAAGACGAATCTAAGAACGTGTAAATCGCTTCATTCATTCAGTAATTACGAGGGAATGTGTACACGTTAATTAGAAAACTTCGTTTCATTGTGCATAGCTATAAATAATTGCTAAAATGTATAATAGTGATCAAAACAAGTAACATCCCAACTTTTATGTCATATAATAAAAAAAAAAAGCCTTAAATTTCTTGGAATTACAATGTTGAAATTATAATGCTCCACGTCCATCTGCGGTTTGGTTTCTCTTTGAAAAAGTGTTTAAAATTGCAATTTTGTTTTCAAGAGCAAAATCTATCAGTCTTTGCCCTCTTTGATTTCTTACGCCATATCCGTTTGGCTTCATAATGAGATGTTGGTTCGCTTTTAGTTGGCCAATCTTTATATTCAGATCTCCCATAATTATATAAACTTTGTTTGCTTGGTCATATAAATTTGCGTAGAAATCTTCAATCTCTACTTCTTTTGCTGAATCTGTAGGCGCATACACTTGTATAAGTGATAGTTTGATACCTTGTATATTTAGGTTTAATAATGCGACTCTTTCACTGATACTCGTGAAGCTTTCTATACTTTTTTTATGACTTTGGTTTTTTAAGAAACTTACGCCGTACATGCCCTGTGAAATGACCTGTGACCTGTGTAGCAAAGTATGAGGTTTTCATACTCTTCTATTTTCGGACAGTCCAATTATATCGAATTTAACGTTGGTCAGTGCTTCATACAATTCGATAAGGTGCGTGTAGGAAGACAGAGTGTTGTTTCAATTATTGGGTTTATTTTTGTCGTATTTTTTGTTACGATCTTTGGAGGGTTTTGGTCATTATCTTCCTCGGTGACCAGCCGTATTGGAAGACATTTTTTGCTCCTTTATTGAGTTTGTTTACATGTTATATCTGTGTGGGAGGGGGGCGTTAGTTGCTAGATTTGTTTTTGTTCTTATCGTTGTCTTGGTTAGGTGGTGCATTGTTGCCTTTTTTATTAACCGACTTCCAAAACACAAAAGAGGAGGTTCTCAATTCGTCTGTATTTTTTTTTTATGTATGTTTGTTCCGCGATTTCTCCGTCAATTGTGGACCGATTTTCAAAATTCTTTTTGTAATCGAAAGGATATGCTCCCGAATTGGTCCCATTACCACCAATTCAGGATCTGATGATGGGATTGGATTCAGGATCTGATGATTTTTCATTGTGCTAATATAAAGCTGACATAGACCAGTATTACTTATTGTGCATCGAGCTTGGCACCGACTTCAAACAGACTAGAAGGGACTATTGGTATTATAATGTTACCTGTTACATTGAGGGTACTTATTATAGTTTTTTACTTAGATTTGTAATTATTTTTTAATTTTTAGTGCTCTTTGTCGGTGTTGTTTGAAGTCGGTTCAACTTTTTTTTTAAAAGGGTTTATTGGTTAGGTAGTTTAGGATGCATGGTTTTAGGACTCCTTCCGAGACACTGTTTGATCTTCGTACAGGTGGATTAGATTTTAATATTTTATTAGTTTGAGTAATGTTAGCACCTTTTGGTTAGGAGTTAGACTCCGGTGAGGTTGGCAGTGTCCTTTTATTGTTTGATTTTAAAATAATTAGTTTATCATATTTTATCGTGACTTTATTGCCTTTCTCGCGCTCTTGATTTGCGTGTTCTTGTAGTTCTTTCCTTTTTTCTAATACGTATCTTGGATAGTCCTCGTTCATATAATAATGCGTGTCTTTCAGTAATCTTTTTCGTTTGAGAATATTAATTTTAAGACCAAGAGTTAGAAATGTTACAATAATAGGCCGCGGCTTATCTCCTTTTTTAACATCCCAACTTTTAGGTGACATCCTGTTGTTATCATAATATAATTTTCACTTTTTTAAATAACTTACACTTACTAATAAAATTGTCACAAATATTTTCAAAACAAGAAAGTAATTAAAGATCGCGAACCTTTGTATTTAGGAACCTTGAGTAACAAATAATTCACCTTCTAAAAAGCTCTCCCTCCGTTATCTTCTTTGTGATAATATTGTTACTCACTCGACTAAACCAAAAATAAGAACACGATACCTATTATAATGTTACACTTACTACAGAAAGCCATTGATGAAATTCTAAGAGAACTTAGTGAGAAGGGGGATCTTGTTCAACTCAATTGTCTCAAAGACGGAATGCTCAAACATCTTGATGAATTAAGTGCCCGTATGGAAGCTATTGCAACTATTGTTGGAGAACCTAAAACAGCTGTTATAACGAAAAGGTTGTTTAGAGATGCTGCATGCATTTGTTGCTCTACTCCAGCAACGATGGACATGGAACGACCACCACAGTTACCGAACCTACCCAAATTCCCTGGTGGGAAACGAGATGAAGACAGTGAGCATAAAAAGCAAATTAGTGGAGACGGTGATACAAGACCTTGTTACTATGGTTTACCCATATTACATCCGATAGATCCCAGGTAACTAACTTAAGTAATGAAATATGAGTACTATAATAACGTCTTTGTGGTCGGTATAACCAGCACGATTATTAAAAAAAACTTAAATTTGAAAACATCACGAACAAAAAAATCCTGGTTTAACTAGTGCATTTTTTAAATTAGATTTCTAGAAAATAATAGGCTTCTAATTTCTACTATTTTTATAGGGCGCATTATTGCCAGCGATACTGTGGTGGCTCGCACACATTGATCCCAAGTGGTCCACCTAAAGTTCCTCTATCGTGCATCATAACGCCTGTCCGTAAAGATGTCACCACTGAACTTGGAACAGATGGAAAGGTAAAAAGATGGATTTTAAAGATTTAGGATACCACGTATGTTACGGCTAACAGCCGAAGTACAGTTATATCTATTTTTTTCTAAATTAAGGTGCGGTCGATAGCACTTTTTAAACTTATTTGTTATTTATTAACAGCCAGTACCAGTGTAGCATTGGGCTGAAGTTGGGTTTAGTCAACTTTTAACCAAATACAACTACGAGTAGATTATCCAATAGCCCAATGTTCAAAACCATGTTAACAAAATCACTACTATCGATAAACTTATTAATACTAGCATAGACAGGTCACCCAGTTTAACCAATCTAAGTTTTATGTTCATGTTTAGAGCATCATTGTCATGTCATTCTCAATTCTGTAAGTAATTCAATGAAAGTGGCAAGTCAAGTTCAAATAGAAGAAAATAGAACGAGAAAGTCGTTAAATATTTCTACGAATAAAATATCTGTGCAAGAAGTTTTTACGTTTATTTGATTTCAGATGTACAAAGTGGATGAATCGTGCCCTGAATCAAAAAATTAAGACCCATGATCTTTCATCTCCACTATTGCCACTTACTAAAGACTGGGTCTGTAAATAAAGTTACATTTAAAGACCATCAGAAAACTAAAATATCAATACTTTTGGTAAGTAAATATTTATATTGTAAATAGCCTTTAACAGTCCACTCCTAAATATATATAAAAAATAAAATATAGACCTCTCCTTAGAAAGGAGGTTTTGGCCTCTTCTTAGAAAGGAGGTTTTGACCTACTATACCACGCTGGCCAGACAGGGTTGGTATAGGGTTTGTTTCAAGTTTACCTGCTCTTTGCCGTAGGTACTATTGTTACGACACCCACGGGATGAATAGGGGTGGTCACACTCCGTATTCTTAATCCGTCACCACACGGGCGTGTATAAGTATCACCAGGATTTTCTAGTAATTACACCTTTTTACACACTCAAATCGAGGAGCACAAAAAGAACCATTATTAATTATCTAACTAGATTGTTGTAGTTAGTTCCAAAACCTAGTTGGCCTTCAATCTAATAAAAAGCTTAAAAAAGACACCTGCTGGCAGGCCTGCTGTTAGTTAGCAGTCATCGGCGCTTATAAATAATAGCAACATCAGAAAAGTATTATTTATTAATCTTCAATAATGTAGTGATAGATTTATTGTTTCCTTGATTATAATATTTAATGGATAGTTTGTTATTTCAATAGGTCTACTAGACGAAACGCTTCTTTGGACACGCGAGAATATTATGTTTCAATGAAATGACATGAATTTTTCGGAACCTGCAAGTAAATCTCTAAAAGAAGCAGCTATTGAAAATTATTAATAATGTAATAGGTATAATTTCACATAGTTAAATTATTTTATTACTATTATTGTAATAATCCCACCACTCTGTGTTTCATTGCGTAACCTCATAAGCAGTAGTTTAACAGTCTGCTCATCATATCCTCTGGGAATGTAGTCTTTGGTATAATGAACGTAATATAATGCTGAATAGCTTGCAGGTGACATCTGGGGCGGTATACTATGGGGATCTTGTTTCAACTAAGGTGAATTTCCATGCGTTTAGGCGATTCTGCCATACATATTATAGAAATCAAACATAGCTCACGTAGGACCCGTAATATTTGTGGCCGTGGTGCTTCCCTGTTTATAAGGGTGTATGCCCATTTTACTTCATTTTGTCTCCCGCTATGCTAAGGAGGGAAGTGGATTTACTGTATTTCCAATTCCTCCAATTTTCTTCTGATTAATTTCGTTGCGGGTTCCAAGACAGTTTAATTTCTTCCTGGGACTTCCCGAGTGTCATAACTCGGTGTGTTCGTGGGTCACTGCTGTGGATCCTGGTGTACAGGAGTTACAGTGGTGGGCGTGTGGGTGGGATTAGTCCCAAATAAAAAAAAAAGCAGTAGTTTAAGTGTCGCCTCCTGCCGACCGCTGCCTGTCATCCGGGACTTAGGACGGACATCGGCCCAACGCGGCAACTCGGCTATGGCCTCTTTGGCCAATCAACTCTTTATCTCGCAACTATCATAAAAGATATTTTCGAAGTAAAATAGTAAAGTCAATACTGTTTTTATTTTTATTTCGGTTACAATACAATATTATCACATTACCTAAAGTCCACGTTGAATGTTAGTACTTTATAGTACGGCCGCTGAGTTATTACCGATTTGACACATGACGAATTGACAATACTAGTGAAGTGACTGAACCAGTAACCCTAATATCATTTGGGAACAGTTTGTTTTTAAATATTCTAGTATAGTGTGTAATTAAATAAAATCAAAACAAATAATAGTTAAAGACACAGGTTCTTTATTAGGTGGAGTATCCTTGATGGGCGTAGATAATTGGTCGAGGACATATCAAAATAAAACAAATTTGTAAACACTGTTACACATTTTAATGAATAGAGTAGGTACAAGATGTTTTAATAAATGACTACCTATCATTTATTAAAACAATTATTCAGACTCTGAACCAGATTCGCCAGAGCTGTCATCGCTATCAGTCACTTGTATGACAATTTCATTGTCTATAATGGTGTCCACTCTTATATCGCGTTCATAATCTTCTGTTATTATATCTTTTTACTTATATGCTGAATATTGGATGTTATAATAGTACAAATTATTCATATTCATAACTTATGCGATAAAAAACAATACCTTTGATTTGTGCCCATATTAGCTCAATGGCATTGTACTGGCAGTGATAAGGCGGAATTCGAAGTACCCGATGTCCATGTGCCAGAGCTATCTCATCTACTTCATAACGGACTCTTGATGTTTTATTTTCGCGTACCAACTTTACTAAGTCAGACTTTAGCATTTCGGCAGTAGTTTCAATTCCATTTTGGTGTAGCCATGCTACGAGATCAGCTTTCTTGTCGGCCTGAGTAGGCACTTTATTCACTTGTTTCGAGAGTACGGAAGACGACTAAACAGATTAAAATAGCGGTGGTAAGGGTGTTGCCAGAATAGTATCGCCAATTACTTAAAAAAATACACCTATAACATTGCTCAATTGAGGGAGAAAATTATATTTATTAAATGTTGTTTTATATATTATAAATGTTAAAAATTATACATAATCATTTTAATTGTATTTATTTTTAAATCATAGAAAACAGTATTTCTGTCTTTGGATCACACATAAATCTTAAAAATCATAAGATACTGGCAACACAGTGCAATTAGGAGACGCAAAAAAATGGTAGCATTATATTTAGTCTAGTTGCTCGAAGGAATAAGTAAAATAAAAATATCCAAATAAAATAAATATCATGTCTATTCCAATGAATTCGGACCGAATACTATCAAGCACATCACTATGAAAACTAGACGCACGATGTAACTTTGTACAAGCGCGCCAAAGAACAAAAAATAAATGTTTTCATATTATTTACAAACTATTTTAAGTTTTGAAACAGAGTTTATTGGAAAATTACTTGATTCTGACATTTTGACATAAAGTTTTATATTAAAGAGGTATTCTAAATCATTCGGCAAATGTGTCGCTCGTACAAGGTTATATCGATTAATTTAAGAATAATCTGTCAAATCGGTAATAACTCAGCGGCCGTACTATAGAAAATATAATTTTATGACATATCGAGAGTTGATCGGCACTGAATTGTGTCCGCACTTCATTCTGAGAATGTGCCTTCGTAGTGTCTTATTAATTCTAGAAAGAATAAAATGGAAAAAGACATGTGTCGATAAATACAGAAGGGTGCAAGAGATGACGATAATGTTACAAAAATCAGGTTCAGGTTGCACTGGACAATGAAATAAAACAAGACATCACATTTGTGATTTCTAGTGTTGATTTATTTTTACTATAAACTAGCTCTTTCCCGCGGCTCCGCCCGCGTTTATGTTGGTTATCGTGGTGAAAAGTTAGGCTAAGTTACTCGCTGATTATGTGTCGCCGATAATTTCCATTTGTGAAAGAATTTTCTAAAATCGGTTTGGTCGTTTAGGCATGAAAGGATAACAAACAATAAACAAACAGTTTTACATTTATAATATAAATATTTATATGAATCAAACTAACAAAGAATTCTGTTAAGAAATAAAAACTCGCTTTCCTCCCGAGATGAGTTACATTTTAAGCCTCACGATACCCAGACTTTGTTGTCTTACACTACTTTTTCGATCTAGCAATGTTGTGGTTCAAATTGTCATTGGTCAGTTGTCACTGCCAACTTGACGTCAAACGTAATTATCACGTCTCTCGTCTGCTCTACAAATTTTAATCTTGCAATGCAATAGTTTAAACGATTGTGGAACATGCAATCTATATAAATAGAAGTCTAATTTAGCAGATATACAGTTGTATCAGTAAAGTAAGTTCAATCTCTATCAAAATTATTTTTGTATCTGTAGCTTTAAACACTTTAATATGTTTTCTTTTAAGTATGCATAAGATATTAGAGTTTCAAGCGGTGGTGCTGGCGGCTGGAAGAGGATCTCGGCTACCTGATGTTGGTGGAGCAGTGTCAAAGTGCCTTCTACCAGTTGGGCCCTACCCTGTCTTGTGGTACTCATTAAATTTATTGGAAAAAATAGGATTTCAAGGTAAGCATTAGAACACATGGCTTGCAAATAATAAACGTAAGTATTTTTAGTGAAGCTGAACATTGGGGATGAAAAGAAAATTTATTCCAATTAATCATTAGTATTATTGGGCATAGTATTAATAAAGTAGTGGCTGCCTAGTGATCTGTGGACTTTTGCTGATGAAATCAGCATGTATGACAGCTCTGTATAAGATTTTATTACTGAAGTTTACAAGCCTCTTTCAGGCCCATGTAACTAACCTAACCACAACTACTAAGATACCGATAGGAAGAACTTTCTGCAGTTAGCAGTATGATAGTTTAAACTTTTCCGACAAGAAAATGTTTTTTGTAATGCATGTTACTTAGCTCAATCTTACTTGATCTTAACATTACTTATTTTTTGTGGGACCAAAATATACACACTACAATAGTACACATACAAAAGGTAATTTGGCAGAATATCTTTTTAATATGTTGTAAAAATATTTTTGCAGAGGTTTTGGTATTGGTTCTTGATGAAGACAAGTCGAATATTCTAAGTGCATTAGAAAAATGCCCATTAAAGATTAAGTATGACCTAATAGTTATACCGTCTGATGAGGATTGGGGCACAGCAAATTCATTAAAGCACATCAGCAACAGAATATCTACAGATTTACTTGTCCTCTCCGGAGATCTCATTACTAATATTAATCTTAACGATGTCTTGAATGTGCATAGAAAGTATGATGCAGCACTGACTACTTTATTTTTCAATAACGGACCCGAAGAATGGATTGAACTACCTGGACCTAAAACTAAAGCTAAACCAGATAGAGATCTAGTTTGCATTGACAAAGAAACTCAGAGACTTGTTTTCTTGGCCAGTGCAAGTGATTTTGAAGAAACAGTGACAATACCCAGAGTACTTGTGAAGAAATATGATGCAATCAGTATGTATAGTAGACTGCTGGATGCCCATGTGTATGTTATGAAGCACTGGGTATTAAACTACCTGGTTGATTCTGACAAATTTACATCAGTTAAAGGAGAACTTATCCCACACATTGTAAAGAAACAGCTGTCTAAATCTAAAAATTCTCTAGAGAAAAAGGGTACTTCAGAGAAAAATGTGGATATTACTAAAGATATCTTTGATTACGCTACTGAGAGTGGATATGAGAGTAAGATTAGAGAAATGACTGCATATAGTGATCACAAGTTAGGAAGCAAAGGTATTTTTTATAATGATTTATTGAGATGTTATGCTCACATACCAGATAAGAACACATTTGGAATAAGAGTAAATACTCTTTCATCGTTTTATCTATCAAATAATAAGGTATAGTTATTTTTTATCATTATTTACTTTTTTTAAATACTTCTGGAAGAAAAAAAGTTGTATGCTACTAAATTTGATGTAGTACATGTCATTACTATAAACAATAGTGTGTACTTTTCTAATTGGTAGATTTCAGAGAATAAATCCTTTCACTGTTTTAGTACCATGTTATCATGCATGTAGTTAAATTCTCGTCTAAAATTTAGAGGTTGGCATAAAATTTTATGTATTGCTAGTGTTTCAATTTTTGAGATGAGCAGTATTCTATCTATTAGTATGTCAAGTCATTTTTCTCAAATTCACTGTTTATTACACCAGTGGCAAACTAAACTGCCCTCTCTTTCTCTAAAAAAAAATCTCTGAAATTATGCCACTTCTATCGTTATTTTACCTGGGCAGACTCAAGTACAAGTAGTCATAAATAAGTACCTGCACTACCTAAATTACAAAAAGCACATATCTAAATACCCATTCAGTCAGCATGGAATCACTGATTCCTGAACAGCAACAGCTGAACAGAACTTGGATACTTTTATATTCTAAAATGCCTATTAAAGTTTTTAAAGCTACCCTTATTGCCTTATTAGTCATAAATGATAGCCCTATCGCTTATTGAGCTAGCTTTTGTGGTAACCAGTTGATAAAAATAATTTTGCTATAGGCTTATAGCCTATGTTTCTCATATAATCTATAGCCCTAACTCCTTTCAACCCTATCCTTCTCCTTTATGAATATATGTTTTACATAGTAATGACAAGCATTAATATGAGATGGTATTTACTTGCAGATTTTATCAAAATGGGAAGAATTGATTGGTTCACCTCTTTCTGAAAGATTTCACCCAAACAGTGAAGTAAAAACAAAGCAAATTGATGAATCTAGTACTGTTGGAGACAAAAGTATAATAAGTGAAAAGACATCTATAAAAAATACATTCATAGGCGCCAACTGTAGAGTTGAGAACAAAGTTAGATTGACTAACTGTATATTGATGAATAATGTTACTATTAGGGAAGGGTAAGTAAAAATTAAGTTTGCAGATCATTTACATTAAGATGCAACATAAGCTCCTTAATTTATAGGTCACCCATACAAATTACTTAGTCCCCATTAATTTAATGTATGTACATTGTTAAATGCTGTGTCTGGTTACATAACTTCATATTTTATTATTATTATTCTGTGTGTTATTATTCTGTGGCGGATTTTGAGCATTGAGTGAATGGTATATTCATGGATGTGGAAAAATTGCAAATTTTATAAATTGTATCCCCCCTAGTATTTTATCGACATTCATATTGGTATATTACATAATAAACCCAGAGACAACTTCAAATCACCTAACCATAATTTTGACAGTATTTTAATGACATTGAATTTTTGACTGCATGTGTTTGTTTTTGTATTTATCTACTTGTATTGCATTATATAAATTAAATTCGTTAGAAACTTAAGTTAACATGTAAGCATTTCAAACACAATTTTTATTGTTACTGAATAAATAAATAAATAAATATGTCTGATCCTAGATTGAGCAGAGCTTAAGCTCTGTTTGCTAGACTGCTGCTAGATATTTCCAAATAATTATTTGTGGAATCCAAGATCTTCTAGCAAACATGATCACTACAAATTGGACAGGCTAGTAAAATACTAATGTTTAAAAAATAATCATTGGGTAGCATTCTGGCTTATAAGCAGTAATTAAGTTCTACAATCGTTCACATTAATAATAGAGGCTAGTATGAGTATTAGCAATTAAACATATATCATATGATTTTGTTAGTCTGTAAGCCTATCTTAAAATAAAATTAAAAATTACATGTATTCCATTTTAGTCTACACATGGGACAAATATCCCTCATAGTCAGGGTTGCAGCATGTAGATGATATAAGAACCTCCACTCGGACCCATTTCATCGCGAGTGAACCGGGCGGCGGAGGTGCGCTTACCATGCCCCCTGAGTGTGACCGCGGGTGGACGGAACGGGTTTTCCCCTCCGAGAGGTGGCCACGGCCAGCCGCCGTCCGCGTGCGCCGGACGTCGTTAAATGGAGAATGTGCCCAAAGATGGTCACATTTCATCACAGGCTGGAGGGGTCCGGATGCCTTAATAATAGCAGGTCCCGGATCTCTCCTATTATAGGCGCAGAGTGGCACACCGTGATCAGATTCCGACACACTAACCGCTGCAAACGCCGGTGGGGTGACGGACGGGGTGGGTTTCCACAAGTAAAAAAAATAAAAAATGTAGATGATATATGAAGACCTTTTTTTTTTCGTTGACGGGGTGGAAAATCCCTTCGGATCTCGTGATTTCACTAAAAACCACCCCGACGGCCGTCCTCAGGTGTCCTACTCTGGGGAGGACCCGGACCATGTTATTTCAGGTCCTCCCCGAATTGACACAATGCCTAATCAGGCCCTATCCCAGGGGAGAACACTTCCCCCTATGATATATGAAGACCTAGGTTAGATCTATGGGTTCTACAGTATACATAAGACATTAATTGTATTTATTGTTACAGCTGCACGCTTCAAGATACTGTGGTGTACACAGGAGCGACAGTAGATACTGGTTGCAGCCTACAACACTGTCTCGTCGGCCCTCACCATTTGGTTGCATCATCCACATCCAGCAACCATCAGCTACACGCTGAAACAACCGACAATATGATCACGCTTGGATGATATGTTACTCGAATAGAAAAAATGGTTCGTGAAATAAAAATATATTACACTACAATATAATTTGTATTTTTATCTGTCTCATTTATCAATAATCAGAAAATTATTAAAAAATATTAATAGGTGGATTACAAAGAGAACACCACTCGCCGTTAGCTTTCTTAGTCTCACATTCATCAACAGCATTTCATAGTACACTGCTATACATAGCCCTCTCCTTGCAAAGGAGGTTTTGCCCTACTGTAGAGTAGGTTCCTCTACGTGCCACCGTGGAGGCGCTCCAGTCGGCGACCCTTTCCTTCCGGCTGACGCAGGTTCTTTCCGGACACAGCTGCTTCGGAAAGTACCTGCACTCGGTCGCTACTAGTAAATTGAATCCCGCCTGTCACCACTGAGATTGCAGTGAGGACTCGGCTCAGCACACGCTGGCAATTTGCCCGGCCTGGGCATCGCAGCGTCGGGTCCTCATGCAGTCAATGAAGGGGATCTCTCGCTACCGGCCGTCATACACTCCATGGCCGATAGTGACAGATGTTTTACCGCGGTCGCTTCCTTCTGCGAAGACGTCATCTCGCAGATGGAGGCGGCGAAGAGGACCCGGGAGGATGACCTCCATTCGGACCCAATTCGCAGCCGGCGAACCGGGCGGCGTAGGAGCGCTTACCTCATGCCGCCCTGAGTGCGGCCGCGGGTGGACGGGACGGGTTTTCTCCTCCATCCGCTAGTGGCCAGCCGTGAAGAGGTGACGTCCGCGTGTGCCGGACGTCACCTAAATAAAAAGTTTACCCAAAGGTGGTGCCCGCGCTGTTGCGGGCAGGCACTGGGAGTGGTCCGGATGTCTTAATATCAGTTGTTCCTGGACCCCTTCTATCTCAGGCGCGAAATGGCACACCGTGTAGTTTTGGTCGGTTTGATTCCCACACACCGCCCCGCCCCAAACCCCGGCAGGGTGACGGCCCGAGGGGGTTTCAACATGTATAAAACAAAATAGAAAACTTTATTCCCTTCTTCTGCAGTGCTCTTATCCTGCGTAGTTTGCTCCCTTAGTCGACTCTTACGACACCCACGGGATGAACAGGAGTGGTAATGATTAACACTCCATACCTATTCTTAATCCGTCACCAAACGAGTCTCACATTGTAACAGTTATTTTTTAGTATATTTCTATTGCGTACGGACTTGTTAACAGCGACACCTATTGCCCGCGTCGCATTTTGTTTGATTTATCCAAAGTAGTTTGTAGCTACAGTATTGATGTTCTTCGTTCGCCGTCGGACCACTAGATGGCGTTTGTTTTGTAGATAAGTCATTTTATTAATTTATCATGACAAATTGTATAGGTGTTGGAAGTGTTCTGTTATGGTAGGAAGCGAGTTACTTTTGATTTTGTTCGTGTTGACTTCGTTGATAATTTAAATGTCAAATTGAAAGGTTAAGTAGTGATTATTTCTGGAAACTTCTCAAACCGAACATATATAAGTCCGGCTCTCAGCCACGGGGGACACTCTGCTAACTCGTGTCTTCCACTCTTAAATAGTGTTTTGATTGTCTTGTGATTTTATTTTCGTAATATATTATCTGTTCAAAGTACCCACGAAAGTGGTGAGTATATTCTTAATTTTTCTTGTACCTATTTGTTTCTGGAACCTGATCGATAATATGAGTGCTAATCCATTCGTAGGGTCCCAGATTTCGGGTCAAGACGGTCAGTCTCAGACGGCGTGCTTGTTCGTTTGTGGCCTTCTGGTTCGAATTCAAGTTTCTCGGTAACCTCTGGCAAGCTGGCAGTCACGCGGCTCACAAAGCAAGCGGACAGCCGTACTCAAGGGTTACGTACTTCTCGTTAACTTTATTTATACCAATTATTAATACCAATAGTGAACTTTCCTCAATACCTAATATAAATAGCCGACTCGGGCGGAACGGAAAGTGACCTCCTGGAGTGAAGACGAGGAGGCTCCGAGCACCATCAGCTCGGCTCTGACGCGCGCTGCTGCGGTTTTTCTTATACCCTCTGATTATTATTATTTTTTTATTATTGTAACTTAAAGTTTTATTGAAATATACATGTATGTATGACTGAGGTGTAAGTTGTTTTCCTCTAAGGAATCCCGTAGGTTTCCCACACGCACACACTTCTGTTCTCATACAAGGCGCCCTGAGGTAATCTCGTAAATCTCTCCACTGGGTCAGCCGGTGAGTAGTCCGCCTGACAAGAAAAGCGGCTACAACATTGAAGGTCTACCGTGATGCACGAAACGAAAAATCACCTTAAATTTAGAGATGAGCTTTCTTCTAAGCTTTTTAAAGCAAAAACCAATTATCAAAAAGGGCATTTAACGCTACTTAGAGGCATTGAAAACACACATAGGCATACATGTTCTCCCACAAAGACTTTTTGACACGGAGTTTTTATTGGCCTTTTTTCAGTATCTGATGGTGAGTATTATGTCACGAAAATTACGTTACTCTCATTACATTACAACAGTGAATAGAAACAAAACTACTTCCCTACTACTTCCCTAATATATTATTTGTGTCTATCACTATCGGAGGGCATGTGTGACTCAGACATAGCTTCGTTGCATCAGCCCCTTCCCCCAGAATCAGGGGAGGGTTTGGGCTCCCGTAATCTAACTAGGTGAAAAGCAACGAAAGAACTGCTTAACACCGGTTTTCTGAGAGACCGTGATATCACTCCGGTCAAGCCTGGCCCTTGTGTGTAAGAAAAACGGAGAATGAGGTCTAAACGACGGTGAGGGTCTGAGATTAGACACAGCAAGTGTCCAATGGCACTCCACTACTGTGGCACTGTTCGCTTTTCATGAAACTTTTTGCCTCATACATCCAATCTGTGGAACAAACCTGAAGGTTATTATTTCTAAAAATCGCAAGTGTGAGAAGGTAATAGTTTTCAAACTTTGATAGAAGAAAGGATTTAATAGTACAACTAGAAGAGGTAAAACAAATTAAAACTTCGATTTGCCAATTGCAAAATATTGTAGATTATAAAACAGAATGACAAAAATTGTAATGAACCAACTAACCAACAAGAAGCAACTAATTTGTAAAATCTATCTTGTACCTACTCAAAGTATTACGCTATGTTACTGGGTAGGTATCACACGGTACCAGTGAAGAACCTCTTACTTAATACTTAATAGTTTGTATGACGCGCCTCATTCCGACTAAGTACCTACTGCCATCACAGTATTACTGAAAGTGTGTAATACGGCCACGTAGCTTCCTGGCTATTGCATTGTAGCTATTAGACTCTAATAGCTACAATGTAACAAACTCTAATAATTAGAGTATGCATCATGTTAAAAAAAAACAAATTGTAAAATGTTGCTTGTTCTACAGTAAAGATATTGTAGGTTAAATATCGAGCTGGTAAAATCACATTATTTACGCCTAGATTCACTTGCACATTAATTCGTGTAGGTGTGGTATACCTGCTTTATCCTTTTTTGTTGTAAAAAGCTAAATGCACCTAAATCTAATTCAAGCCTGCTGAATTTCGATATCGCACTGCACTGGGGTTGTAGAGGTCTTTTTTTTTTTTTTCCGTGCGGAAATCCCCTCGGATACCACCTGTCGGTGGCATGTCGGACTCGAACCGACTAAAACCGCACGCCTTCGCCGGGTACTAATAGCCGGGGAACCAGGTATACCCTAGAAAGGAAGGCCCTGGTGCCCCGACATACCTCGGGTCATCTACAGACGAGTAGACGACCCCCGCCCCGTGTGGGCACCCCATGTTCCCTGTGCTCCCTGGAAGCGAGCGCTCTTCGCAACGCGCTCGCCGCCACCCCGGCCTGCTTCTGCTAGGGTGACAGATGGCCTCACCTGTCACCCCCAGGCCTGCGCTTATGGAGGACGGAGGTCGTTCTGCGACCTCCGGCGCCTGAGTCGCCTGCGCTGCCTGGCCCGTGCCCGGGCCTGGCGGCAAGGCCGTCTTAGGCCACGCCGAGGCCCCTGGGCACACAAGAATTAGGGGCCCTGTTGGACAGTTAACAAAATGAATGATGAAAATATTTTTAGTTATGATCTTTTACTTAAAATGATTTATTGGCAACAATCAAATATACCTATAATTAGAGATATTAATTAGATAGATACATTTACGAGTAAGTATAATATATATAAATATGGGATGTTAATTTAGACAAGCATCTTTGAATTGATGGTTTGAATCAGTTAGGTACAATTACGACAGTGATTTTTTTCGGGATTTCTGTTGTGCAAATTCTTCTATTATATCTTCAAAGTCAATTTTTAGGATATCATTTTCTATACACATAATTGATAAATACGTTAGTCGCTCTTGTGACGCTGATGTTCGTAATTCATTTTTCATTCGCTTTAACTTTGAAAATGAGCGCTCTCCGCTGCAATTGGTAACCATTAGGCATAGAAACATTCTTGTAGCCACTTCAACAATTGGCAAAGTCTTCTAATCTGTTGGACTTTATTAAATTATGTAAGTTTGAGATACTCAAATCAGCTGATTCCTTTGATATATTCTTTAAATACTGTCTTAAATGAAAACACTCTGATTTGAGCTCATATGCATTAATGTCTTCGTGATAGAATTCTTTAAATTCATTGCATTTTTTTGTTAACTCGTCAGAATCAATTGTTGTTAATTGTGAAAGAAAACTAAAACGATCGTGAATTTCTTAATACGCTACCAAACGATTTTTTAAATGTGCATATAATGTATCTATTACAGGGATAAATGTATCTATACGATTTTTTTCCTTCCCATGCAACTGCACAGTCTCTGATGATCCTTCAAAGAAAGTAACGCGTGTGCTGCGAATTCTATTCCTGTCAAATTTATCTTTATAGTCAGCATTTGGATTTTTTTCTTTATAGGAATATCAAGGCTTTCCAAAAAGTTTAAAATGTTACCTGCTAAGTATTCTGCATTATGTTTATCTATAGGCAAGAACTGTAGAAATCTTTCAATAGGCTCTCCATCTTTTACGTATCTAACG